TCTCTCTCTCCCTCTCCCTCACCCTCCCGCTCCCTTTCCCTCCCTCCCTCCCCCTCTCTCCTTCCCTTCCTCCCCTGCATTGTCCGTCCTTCCTTTCCTCCCTCCTTCCCTCCCTTCCTCCCTGTATTAAACTTTACTATTGTAGGTATATGTATTAGTCTCAAAAGTATGAAATGCACATTAGTAACTCTAACACACACACACACACACACACACACACACACACACACACACACACAGGAGGGGCAGAACCCAGCTCTTCCTTTTCAGCATTGCTCAGATTTCCAGGGATGGAAGAAAGAACGACAGGAGATCTTTGGCTCATGACTGTAATGGACATAACAACTTATGACATGATCATAAATCATGAGTTTGTAAAGTGGATCACCCACCTGATCCACCCTCTTTTTACAACCTTTTTTTGCGGTGGTCATTAAGCAAACCGATTGTTCACTATGAGCCAATTTTGCCAAAAATCAGAAGCAAATGCTGATTCCTGGGAAAAAGTAATCAAGCATAACTATGAGACTGTGGGTTGCTGCAAATAGCTATAAATGTTGGTCAGCTGCCAAGTGTCCAAAATGTAGTCACATGACCAGGCAGCAGCCATCAGAACTTTGAAACCAGTTCATAAATATTCCCCGGGCCAGTCTGTCATAACTTCAAACACTCACTAAGTGACAGGTCATAAATCAAGGAACAACCTAAGTTTGCTTACTGATTTTTCCTGAGAAGTAGTTACACTGCCCCATTGATGCAGATAAAGTCCAAAGGATGTTCTCAGAAGGGAAACAACAGCACAAAAATCACTTTATTCCACTTGTCTTTCTAAATAAAAATGCAACACCTTGTTATTTATTCATGTCGAGTTCAATCCACTTATTTTCACAGCATAAATATAAAGCAGCAAATAAACCAAGATGGTAAATCCGGTTAAAAACAAATATATCCTGTAACCAACCAAGGACTCCAACCAGCCTCATCCAAAACTTTAGAGAAGAGTCAAATTTTAAAGTTTTCAGAATGGGACCAGCCCAGGTTTTGTGAATAATCCACATTTCACAGGACAGGTGCCACAACAGAGAAGGCACACTTCCAGAGTTATGATAGATGACATGACTTAATTGAAGGAAACTGAAACTACAGCACAGTGAAAACTAGTAAAAACAAATTGCACTCCTGCAATTTAAGTTTTAATTGGTGTTTTTAATGGTTTTCATTTTAGTTTTTTTATCTAAAACTGTTGTGTTGTTTTTAAGCGTGTGTGCTGCCTAGTGTCGTGTGTGTGAAATGGGCAGCGCTATAAACAGGCATAATACGAAGGTACTAAAATTATTACTTTGCAAAAGGCATGCTTCTATATGGGAAGTATCCTGTATCTGAACCATCTAAGAATTGTCAGTAATCATTAGATTGCTTTGAGTAATAGCAGCTACCGGAGGAGCAGGATTTCTACCATTGCTACTAATAGTTTCACTAGCCGGGCGTTTATCCTGAAGCCTTCCAACCAATGGAATTTGGGCATGCAATTATGTCCAAAAATAAAAGCAACTGATTGGTTCAGCAGCTGTCATATTCACCATCCATTCCATTTCCAAGTATACTTACTAGGTGTTTTCATACTTGTTATATCTTTAAAAAAAAAAAATCTTTAAATAGACGATGTAAATACCTTGGTTGAAAACTGTACTTAATAAGTTTGTGGACTGTTGCTTCCAGGCACTAATTAGAACAAACTGTTATGCTATGTTCTAAAATAGGAATCTTCAAACAGAGGTGGGTTTCACAGAGGTTTATCACCGGTTTCCCCCGTGCGCACATGCTCACTTTGTGAGCATGCACTCCTTCCACACATGCGCTTTGCTCAGGCACACGGCTTGCACCCACGCACAAAAACATGGCTTATTTGGATGGCATAGAGGTTGCCACTACCGGTGCGACTGAACCAGTCCGAACTGGCTGAATAGAACCTCTGTCTCCAACCTAGCCCCCTTTAAGACTTGTGAATTTCAACTCTCAGAATTGCTCAGCCAGCTTAGTCTACAAGGCCAAGGTTGAAGAGCCCTGTTCTAAAAAAAACCCTTTATTTTAAGCATAAAGAGCTTAGATTCTAACACTGCAAATAATTGACAGATAATTGACTCATGCAACTTCATAAAAAAGGAGGAAAAATCAATGCCCTTTAAAAGTAATTTCTGTTTCGGCCACTCCTTATGGGTCTTGGAGAAGTAAAATCAGATTTAAATCTACTTGTTTGATTTGTCAATACAGGAAAGGCAGGGCAGGGTTTCAAAGTCTATTGCCACTGGTGTATACAGTATATAAATCTGGAAAGTTGCAGGCTGAATAAAGGAGACCTTGCAATCCACTTCCTGACAATTTTGTTCCAAGAATAAATGTATATGTGCAAAAGCTCATCTTAATTCCCAGAAAACGCATAGAGGTAGTTCTCAACTTGCAACCATAAAGGCAGTCTTTGACTTATGACCATGGTTGAGACCAACCTTTTTTTCTAAGCAAAGCAGTTGTTAAATGAGTTTGCCCTATTTTACAATCTTTTTTGTCAGCGTTGTTAAGTGAATCTGGCTTCCCCGTTGTGTCAGAAAATCACAAAAGGTGATCACATGACCCCAGGACACCGCAACCGTCATAAATATGAGTCAATTGCCGAGCGTAGGACTTTCAATCACATGACCACGGGAATGTTCCGATGATTGCTTATGTGCCATTGTAATTTCAAACTGTCACTAAATGAATGGTTGTAAGTTGAGGACCACCTGTAATTGGGACTTGAACTTATGTTGCTAAGCAAGACAGTTGTTAGGGAGTGGCATCCGATTTTACCCCTGTTTTGCCATGGATATTAAGAGAATCACTGCAGTTGTTAAGTGAATCATGTAGTCATTAAGTGAATCCAGCCTCCCCCATTGACTTTGCTTGGCACAGGTCAGTGGGAAGGTTGCAATTGGTGTTCACATGACTCCCGGATGCTGCATCCATTGTGAATGCATGCCAGATTTTAACCATGTAACCACGAGAATGCTGGAATGCATTTAAGTAAGTACGTAGGTCATTTTTTTCAAGACCATTGAACTTTGAACCGTCGCTAAAGAAATAGTTGCAAGGCAAGGACTATCTCTACTGAGGTTGGTTCATTCTACCTCAACCACATCCCAAGAGTAAGGTGCAATCTAATAGTAGAAGCTGCTACTTCTAATGGTTACACCCAGTCACTGGGTGTAACATCTAAGAACAACGTGTCTCAATCTTGGCAACCTTAAGATGTGTAGACTTCAACTCCCAGAATAGCTGCCGGAGGAATTCTGAGAGTTGAAATCCACACCTCTTAAAATTGCCAAGATTGAAACACACAACTCTAGAGTCGGAAGAATAGAAGGGCAGGAACACACATTTAAAAGATTGCACAGCTTCTGATGTCATGATTGGCAAAGCAGAGAAGTTGGCTTGAGTCTAATTGTGTGTGA